TCTATTACTTAACTTTGTTAAGATAATTTGATATAAACAAAAAAAAAAAACGGTTTAAATCAATAATTTAACTTAACCTATACACTGCTCTTATAAATGAGCAGCGTTGAAGAAGAGTTAGAAGTTGTAGACAAAAAATTGAGTTTTCTTAGTATAAATAAAGAAACAATAATGACTGAAGGAAAAGATAAGCGCGATCTCGTCATGCAAAAAATTAGGCTGATTCAACCGTTTGACGGCAGCATAAACTACTTAGCGCTGTACATCGACAGCATCGACAGCATCGTACGTCGGTACACAACAATCTCTTTAGATGAGGCTGCATTTTATTTCAACTGCGTTACTTGCACTCTAAGAGATTCTGCTCTGGATATTGTTACACGGGAGCAACCATGTGATTGGACAACACTACGACAATTGCCCATTGATGAATTTGGCGAACATACACCTGTGTCTACTCTTATTTTGGAAATAAGTAATATAAATTGAAGAATAGCATAAAATTATTGTGCGAAGAAATTAACATAGAAGTATGTAGAGTAAAAGATTGTATCAAATTAAAAATATAAAAAAATATTTCCACCAAAACATTTTTGTATAAAGAGCTAGATCAAATTAGTTTAAAGACATTAAAAAGGGAATTGCCAAATTATTTAACTGCATTAATAAATGCAAATTTAGTAACAGACCTTAAGTCAGCAATACGAATTTTGAAAGAAAATAATGTATTTGAAGATGATAGAAGACGAAACAAAAGCAAACAAAATTATAACCAAAGAAACATCCTATTTCCCAGAGTTTCCAACCTTTCTTACATAAATAGAGTAAATGGTAACGAGTTTCAATATTTTCCCCCACCCTGTGGAAATCGATTTTTTGACTACTCTCATGGCAATAACTATCGAGGATATACCCTATCACCTAATAACTCAAATCATTTTTATCACTATGAGTGGAATTATTACCCAGAAATGAATACAGCTTTAAATTCTCCTAATAGTTATACTAACAGAAATAATTTTAGTGCGCTTAATACTAATAATGTATCTAAAATAAATTCGCAACAAATAAGCAGGCAAAATGAACTTAATTTGAATCAATCTAGAATAAGGCGATATGGCGCTCCTCAACCAATGGAATTTGAGCAGTCAAATTTTCAATTAGAAGCCTCGGAGGACTGCCCACGATCGAATTAAAGGTCGAAGGTAAATTTATAAAGTTCTTGATAGATACGGGGTCTTCTGTCAGTTTAATTAAGC